AGCATCATATCAGAACACAATGTTCAAAAGCATAGTATACTCCAATTACACAATCCTGTACTTTTTTTTACTGTCATTCTAACCCAACCCGCACAACCATCCAATTTTAAACACAACCATCCAATTTTAAACACAACCATACTTTCCTATCGTCGTCACTCTCATTAAAGATAAAAGTAGCTAGGTGATACAACGGGTGATTTGTTCCCCATCCATGTTCATCCAACTTTGCCAAGCAAACACACACATCATTCGAATACTTTTCCATAATTTCTTTCACGACCTTAGAAATATCTCCTTCAACTTGTAAGTTACTTGCTTGTTTACCTTTTCTCTTTTTTTTGCTTCGTATACTTGGACGAGAATCACACTCTTATCCTAAAGTCTGGGTCAGGATTTGTTGAGTATTTGGAACTACCTCAACATCTTCACTTGAGTGATTATAAAGTGAGTTGGAAATGTCGGGAATAGTAGATAGTGACCCATGACTTTCAGTTCCTTTTACTTGAACTCCATCAAATAGTTGAACACAAAGATCAGGAAAAAGCAGTCTTGTATTCCTGATTGGTTCTACATATTTGCTTCTCTGTTTTAAAAAAGATCATATAAATGAAATTACAAAGATACCAAATGCAAAATGATATAAAATTATAAAGATACCTTAATTTCTATCTGCCATTCTTCATCAGTTAGATTAAACGTGTTGGTTGTTGGGTCATACACGTTGTTTGTTTTGTTTTTCAGTCTCGTCCATGCATTATATTTTGCTTTCAAATAATCGTAATGATTTTTCATTTGTTTTTGATCTGCGACGAAGTTATGTTTGTTTTTAAGCATTTCTGCAACATTCTTCCATGAACGCGACTTAAGACTGTTGCCTTCCCATCCATGTATAATGACCTCATGTATACATGCTTCAAGAAACGTTTGCACCACACCCTCTTTTTCTGTTTATTCTACGTATTTTGGTTGTGAACCCTCACCAACAATATCCATACCTTACAAATAACGACATTTAGCAAATCAGGATTGAAATTCTAACAAAGAACCATATAGAACAAATCACTTATAATTCCCTAATAAAAATAGAAGCTATTAAAAACATTATATCATCAAAAGTAGAAGCTATCAATGGGGTTAATGCTTGTTATAACCTATGCCATTATCAAATTACCAGTAACAAAAATGTTAAAAGTTTTGGGGGTACATGATTGCGTTTTCACTTTAAATTAGAATACCCTATTAATCAATGCAAAACTTTATATACATATAAAGTCACATGTGAATTTGTTTGGATTCTTTAAAGATATGACAAATAGATTATTGAATCCCTGCAATAACAGGTCATTTTTAGTGGGTAGGATAGTATGTGAATCATAATTCCATGTTTTCTTGCAATTTACAAACTCGTGATTTTAGCATAGTACAGTTGCATAGACAGAGTGCAGTCCTTGTCATCAGAGTACCCTTGGAGTCTATAGAAATCTTGCAGCTACTTGCCATGCTTTCAAGCAGTAGGTAATACCCTATTATCTTAAATAATTGATATTTTGGTTTAAATTATTTTGTAGACATAAATTGTTTCATAATGCAATTGATAAATTTTTCACATCTATCCAAATATGTTCTTGACATTAAAATATCTTCAATATTGTGTCCTAATGGTGGTTATGTTGAGCCTGGTGAGATTCCATCTTTGGTTGATTTGGGTCTCAATCCTTCTGCTACTATAAGTCAGCTACAAATTAGTTGTTTATAGTTGGAGAAATTCAAATTATACTTCCTTTTGCTGATATAATGTTAAAAACAATCTTTTCTTTGGCATTTGAATAATTGTGTTTGATTGTATGATTCTGCTTCATTTTAATGTGTTCTTTGATAGTTTTTGTGGAGAAAAAGGGATAGTCATTTCTTCGCAAGAATGTGAATGATTAGGTTCTAAAGTTTATGGTATTATAAAAGTGAGGCTATTTGCAACTGTGATATTGGACTATAAACCCCCTTTGGGCTTGGAAACATGACTTACACCCCATTATTGATCAAGGCAACTCCATTTGTGTTATTCCACTCACTTTCACTATTTTCTCCTATTAGAGTCCACATCAGCTAGGCTTGGATCTATTTTCTCAATTTATGTTGGAACCTGCTTAGGGGTCTTTTGAAGAGTTATAAAGAGGCTCCACATATTCTACATCGTATGAGACAATGTGTACCACTCTAGGAACCCAACATTCTGGGGCAATCTCTTTGTTTTTAATATTATTGATATGTTTTCAAAACCTATGGAGACATTTATGCAATTATGTTGGATTGGGGTAAGGATGATGTTTCTTCCCAGTTCAATGATGAAGTTTGGTCTTTATTTTATTTAAACCAAGATACTTGTATTATTCATTTTAGCAAAAGGGATTAAAGGTTTGTATTTCATCTATTGCAAACACCCACTTATCAGTTGGTGAAACCAAAATAATGAAAGAGATTGGAGGCAGTGATGTAGAGAGTTCTTACCTGTTAAAGGGGCGTCGCCCGTTGTAGCCAACAGATGGTGCGTCCAATAGATTGTGTGTCGGTGCGTTCCAAATTCGAGAGATGGAGAAGAGACGTCGGTTGTATTCTCGAATCCATAGTCGAGAGATGGAGAAGAGGTGCCGATTGTAGCCAACAGATGGAGAATCGAGAGATAAATGAGAGAGTAAAGCCGATTGGGAGAGTTGATAGAAACGAAGAGGCGAGGGCAAGCATGGTAATATTGGTAATTTGAATCGTACAGGAAGTGGGAGGGTGAAGGAGCGATTTAGGGTCCAATAAGTGATTCATACATTTTTCATAATCTACTCAAACAAGAAAATGTCTAACCAATTCAGACTTTTACCTCTTAATGGCATCATTAAGAGGTAAACAAACAACCCCTAAGGCTGTTTTCGGTACATGAGACAGAACGGGACAAAAATCATTGTCTCACGTCTACGCTAGACATGAAACAGAACAAGAACTCACCGTTCCACGTTTGATGCGACATGAGACCAAGAACTGAGACAAGGTAGAACAGCGTGGGACAAAAAAGTTTATTCTTGTTCTACCAAAATAGGTGGAACAATATGGGACAAGAATGAGATAAAAACTAAAATATTACTAATTAAAAATCGTTTGATATATAACCTTATTATGGTATTTCTTTTAGTGGTCAGGACCACTAGCCACGGCTGCCGCCAACACCGTTAATTATTTTCGGCCACATCCACTTCTTCCTCTACTACAATAACCTCATCTACAACCACCGTCGACCACCGACCACCATTGTCCATCACCACCTCCACAACCATCGTCAGCCACCAACCACCGCCATTCATCGCCACCACCGCCACCACCATGGGCCACTTCACGTCCACCATAACCACCACCAGTACTACCTCCACCACATTGGCCACAAATACCTCATCCACCACTGTCTACCGCCACCACCAATATCCACCATTTTCACGTCCTCCACAGCCACCATCGTCTAGCAATCACCAATGCCTCTATCTCCACAACCATTATTGTTTCAACAATCTTCATCGTGTCTTCGTCAATTGACAAGGATTTTTCAAACCAAATAAAACATAATTTATTCTTTGTACGAATCGGGTTTTTTAAACTACCATTAATTATATCAAAATTTTTATTCCAATTTGGTACTATTATATATGTATGAAAATTGTGTAAAAATATTTATAAATTAAATTACTTATTATTTACTGTATATGTGTTAATTATAACTATTATATGATATATACAATCATCCAATAACTTTTCGGGCCAACTCGTCCAATTTTGTCATGTCCAATCCTAGTCGTACCAAACACTAGATACACACTTGTTCTGTTCAGTCATGTCTTGTCCAATCATGTCCAATTATGTATGCATACCAAATGCTACCTAAATGTGTTCAATTCGTGTGACACACATTCTTGATAGAAGTGATACTAAGATACTTAATGATGGAACCCACCACACAATATATTTTTTTGGCAAAAACTGTGACCGCACACACTCCCCTCAACCACCACCACTGTTGGTAGTCATTCGTTTTCCTATGATCGACCTGTATACTACATTTCTTGTATATTATAGTTATAAAAGTAAACTTGCAATGAATGGTGTTAGGAATGATGATCATCTGTGATCATGATATGGCTTATGTTTTTAAGATGTTGTGGAATTATGGTTACTTTAATGTTTGGTTTTAAATTTATTGATCCGGTTTCGAAATAAATAACAATAAAAAATTCAAGGATAAAAAGCTTATAGTTGTTGGAAGATGAGAGACCAAAGATGAAATTTTTTCACCTACTTGTGATTTAGAAATTTTGGTCCAATAATATATCTTGGACATTGGTTTTCACATGGGGGGCCTCACCCTCCTCTCCTTAAAATATATATATATATATATATATATATATATATATATATATTGTGAAGAGTAAAAGTGGGGGAGAGGTTTTTTCTTGTGGTTTTCATTCAAAGAAAAAAGAAAGATCCGGTTAGTGGTTCGATGAGATTTCAATTGATATCAGATGAGGTGAGTTTTTACAAAGATTTTGTAAAGTATGTGTTATTATGTCACACGTGATTTAGTTTGATATATGAAATTATGTGATGTGTTTGCATTCGAACTATCATGCCGAGGCATTGAAATAAGTGGTGGGGCATCCGCGATATATTAAGTTGGTTGATGGTCTTCATCGCCCAACACTATGACAGATGAGACTTGCTCATCGCCTAAGCCTTTGCCCGATTACTTATTTTATCAATCAGGCCTTTAGCGAATAGTATGCCAATCGCCCAAGCTTTACCCGGTGAGGGTGTTCATCATCCAATCCAATGAGGGTGTTCATTGTCCAAAGCTTTGTCCGATGAGGGTGTTCATCGTCCAATGCTTTGTCCCATGAGGGTGTTCATCGCCTAAGTGTTGAACGATGAGGGTATTCCAAGCTTTGACCATTGCGCTTGTGCATAGTTTAAATTGCAATAGTTGGCGGGGCATCCTCGATAGTTGGCGGGTTAAATGCTATAAGTGGCGCGACATCCGTGACAGTTGGCGGGTTAACCGCGATAGGTGGCGGGGAATCCGTGACAGTTGGTAGGTTAACAACGATAGGTGGCAGACATCCGTGATAGTTCTATCATTGAGATCAAAATTGAATTCAATAACAATTTGTTTACGGCAAGTTTTAACACGAGGGAAATCACTCACTATACCTTTCGGTCTACCCTCATTTTTGGTGTTATAAATGGTGCATTATAGTTCAGGTAACTAGATGTTAAGGGAGAGATATTTTCTGAAGAAATTATATGATTGCCTGCATTTGGATATTTGGGAGAATGTGCTGTAACTTGTACCTGCATGCTACTTATAAGTTCAAGCTTTGTATAGAGATTCTCGTTAAAGAAAGTATTTGATAGGTTCTTTTGGGACCGAGTGTGTAAAGTTGTATCTCTTGTTATATGAAATACATGATTATATGTAAATGTGGGATGTGGGGCGTTTTACAAATGGTATCAGAGCCTAAGTTTAAGGGATTTAGTTATTTAGTTATTTAGTATGATGACTAGATTTAAACTGTATTATTTGCATATTAAGGGTCCCTGATATATGTAGAACCTTTGGAATAAATATGATGGGTTAAGAAAATGATATGCAAGGTAAACTCAAAATTACAACTGGCCAATATAATTATAAATTTATAGGTACATATTTATACTTGATACCTTATTACATTTAGGAATGTGATTGTGTGTATATGAAATTCTTGTAAATTGTTAGATGGCAGGCAATTTTTGCAGATTTGAGAAGAATTGCACTAATTACCCCAACGGGAAGGAATAGTTCCTCAGAAAATAATCTATAGAATTCATTTGTTAGTCGGGGTAGAGGCTGAGATTCAGGCAGAGACAGTGGCCGGGAAAGAGGTAAAAAATATTTTTCCTATTTCATTTTGAATCAAGAAATCAAATCGGGGAATCACAAATGATGAATGAAACAGAGTCAAATTTCTGAGTCAGATTTATTATACAACTCATTACATTGTTTAATTGTCTAAACTCTTTTTGATTGCGAGAATTACCGGCATAAAACTTAGAGAATAACCTCAAAGTAATAACTTTATTAATAATAAAAAATCTGTTAACAGATTAAGCTAGACATGGTTTATATTGTAGAAAACAATAAAGAGAAATCCTATTAGGAAAAGGAAACCAAATAATAATAAAAAGGTAATAAAATTAATGGAATAAATAATGGATATCGCTGAGAAGGAAAAACGCCGCTTGGGGCGTCTGATGCACGCCGGCTTCGTTGTTGGTCGCGTAATCAAACAGTGGGTTAGGTTATGCTAGTAGCGGTGCGACATTGGTCGCGGAGAAAGGCACATGAGCTTCTGTTCTCATATCTGGTGTTGCACGCAACTGCTAAGACGACTTTCGGTTGTGGAGAAAGCTGTGGGAGCCTTTGTTTGAGTCTTTTTCCCGGTTTTGATTTGATCCATGATCTCGTTTGCCGGTCACTCTATATCAAGCTTGTTCTTTCGCCTTTCGTTTTATCTCCAATTTGAAAAGATTCGAACTTCCTATCTAGACGACTGGAACTACATGCTGCAGCTCAAACTTTGGTACATTTACATTCGTTGGCCAGAGCATTTATAGAAAGTTAGAGATGCACCGAAGCAACTGTTGATATGGGAATGGTTTTATTATTTCTAGACCAAAGTGAGATTTCTGACAAGATAATGGCGGCTAGAGTCACACTGCCAATGAATATGAATAATCCAAGGAAACTCTGAACGCCAAGACTTTTTGGAAGGGGCTGGTTAGGTTCCGACTTATAAGCAGTATAGATTCCCAGATACTTTTCCATCAGTTTCATCACAAGATCGTTTTCAGTGACATTTATGATTGCCCTAGAAAAATCATCTACTAAACGAGATCCATGAGGGAATGCCTGAGATATTGAACACACAAAGTTAGGGAATTGATTCTAATATGTCTGTAGAAAAGTAAGAATCACATATCAGTAGATTAAATATGGCAGAAGGTTAGAAAATATAGGTTACCATAGTGTAGATGCCTAAGGTTTTCAGTTGAGTTTATATTATTTTTTGGGGCTATTTGTTTGGTTTTTCATCAAGTTTTTATAGATAAAGTTGTTTGTATCGATTAATATGTCTGTGCAGATTAGAAAGTTTTTGTTTGAAAGGGTTCTTTCACAGATGAAGGAGCGTGTTTTTTAATTGGAAGGAATAAGTTTGGAAAAAAGTCGGCTTTTTGCACAAGTCCCACATGGGAGGGAGGGAGGGAGAGAATGAGAGAGAGAGAGAGAGACTCACAAATGCAAGTCCAGATGCTCGTTCAATCGGTCCAAATTTCATGTAATCAGATCCATACTTAGCAAGAAAGAGTTCGACATACGGAAGCTCATCAAGAACAACATTTACGCTGCCATTGGATAAAGCTTTTTCAAAATCTTCAATACCTTTTAAAGGCACTGGATTATTTCCAATACGATACTGATTGTGATTTTGCGTTATAAAATCTTTTAGATAGGTACCGTCTTGATATCCGACATTATCCAAACTCGAAGGCAACCTGGGATGTAGCTGATTGAGCGTCAACCATGAGGACAACATAGCTGTAAAAATCTGAATTACTATGAAAATCATACTTAGCCACATAATAAGCACAACTTTGGAGCACTTATTGAGTATCTTTCCTGCAAAAAGAATAAAAAAGAAGTTAATGGAACCAACCATTTTTATAACACAAACCAAGCTGTAAAAGTAGAAAAAGTACATGCCATGGCAAACCACTTATTTCAAAAGGTTGATTTTAGAATCTACAACTTTTACTGAAACCCACTACTTATTAGACTTTAAAACATCTATATATCTGAAAATCTATACCTTCATGGAAGAAGAAAGTCGATATAGGAAACCAGATGACCATTATGAGTTTCTGATAGAACGGGATTGCAAATCTCGGATTGCCAACACGGTATTCCAAAATTGCAATTGCAACTCCAATAAAGATACAAGCACCAATTATTGTGATCCATAATCTCCAGGTAAAAGGTTTGATGAATGTCAACAGGGTTTGGTTCCAGTCTTGTGCACCATGCACAAGCATATAAACTTCAGAGCTTAGATACGGAGTCGTAAATTGAACGTATTGCGTTCGATTTAAACGTATAGTAATATCACCTGCCACAGCCTCACAAGTCTGCAAGATGGACAAATCAAGACATTTTTAAGCTTATAAAGCTTTGATAGATTATATTGAAAATTTTGGTAATGACTATATACGTTCTGTTTAGATAAAAATGTCAAATTCAAGATCTATTTGTTTTTTTTTATGAATAACTTAAAAACCTCATCCGAATGGGTGAAACTTTACCACCACCCATGCATGCAGTCCTGATAACTTTTTGGGCAATATGTTGTACCAATTTTATCCCTTAATCAAATCAACTACTTGGTTATTATGTCTTTCACATGGTCGTGCATGTTGTTAATAAGATATGATTTTAAGCTATACATACAAATACAAAACATACATAGAGTCAAATTCATAAGAAAAGAATAACCCTGCAAATAAGAGAATAAGAAAACGATTGAATCACATGTGATTTTATACTAAAATCACTTGTAATATACATGTGATTCACATGACTTTGGCCCATGTTGCCGGTACTCCATTGTGTTGATTGTTAGTATAAATCCACATGTGATTCGGTTGTTTTCATGTTCTCTTATTTTGTTATTATTCTAGTTTGTATATATGTATAGATATATAAATACACTTAAAAACTGTACCTGGTTTTTAATGTGGTATATAAGGTCATTATAGGTACCCTTGCTTTCCCCTTTTTCATTAACGAAAGGTATGAAGATAGGCTGAATGTTAAAAGGCAATAACTGTAATGCATGACAGAATATGGCTATGGAGAGTCCCCCTTCTACTTCAAATGCTTCGTTGACTTTTACAAACTCAGTGAATCCTGGTTTCTTTGGCACCCACACAACTAAGTTCGGGCATGCAGTACTATTTTGCTTGGCCACGTTCTGCCAATTGGGCCCCAAAATGCCTTTTATAGGGAAGATTACATACCAAAAACACACTAAAATGAGTAAGGATTAGGAAAAAGTAAAATACTTAACAAGCATTCTGAACAATATGACATATAATACTAACACACAAGTAACATGTCCATGTAGTAGCTTTTCTAATTGAAGTATATAGCATCAAATAACAATGGTTTACAAGTATATGAGAATAGAAAAACTGATTAAAAAGTATAGTAATATAGATGTAAAATTAAAAGGAAAACTGGGAAACCTGTGCCAGATTATTGTTGTTATTAGAGAGATGCGATGTTTCAAAATAAAGCTAAAGTTTCTTAAAACCTTCTCGTTTGAAAGTACCGAATAACACTTAGAAGTACGTGCCAATAGGCGAAACGATAGCAACATACCTGCACATGCATCGTTTCCAATACCACCTTGCTCCAGGATGGATCTATTTTGGATGGCCGCATCGATCATGTATGCTTTAGAGTGAACTTCAAAGGCTTTCACAAAATCAATCATGAAATGAATGCAAAGCAAAGTAATAAAGAATGACCATGAAATAATAGGGTTTTTGTGCTCCATTTTGAGAAGTAGAATCAGACAGAATTATTTTATCGTATGCTGGTTTGAATTATATGATCAAAAATACTGTGTGGCATATATAGCATCAAGTTGGTTGACTCATTCTTGATCAATTGTACTCGACTTGAGAGAAGGAAAGTTTGAAATATGACGCAAAGACCCTTTCTTGCACGCAAAAACCCTTGTTTTATCAGCGTTAGACCAAGTCTATTAACCATACCTTAAGTTGGTGATATCAATTCTAGTCTGAAGACCCAACTCATCGAGATTTTAAAGATTTGGTCATGAAAACTGTAATCGATCAAAGAAGAAAAATATGCTCATATGTTATATAATATGTTTAATCAAAACCTTAATTATATTTAAGATAATTCAGATTAAAAAAGATAAATTAATTATTACTTAAAAGAAAAAAATATATTTAGTTAATATATATAATTCCATTGTTTGACTATTTTGGCATTCTAGCTAATAAATTAATTGATGCAGTTAAACCATGTGATAGCTAAAAAATTAGTTGATAAACTAATATGTTCGATAAAATCTAATTGATAAACTTGTTGAGAAATCTATATATATATATATATATATATATATATATATATATATATATATATATATATATTTTAAAGGAAGAACCAAGCTTAAAGATTTGGTTTTTCCTAAAAGCTAGAAAACTAGTTTATCTTTTTTCTCGTTCAATCTGTTTTTAATTTTTTTTTCTTTCTAATTTCACATTTTAATTTTTATAGCATTGATTATTCATTTATGTTTACATTTAATATCATCTTTTCGTTTTCCTTAACTATTCTTCATGTGTTTTCTTTATCTACATCACTTAATTTGTTTTTCACATTTTATTTTCTTTCTCATTAATTGTTTATCATTCAATTTATTTGCATCACTCGATTTGTTTTTCATTTCATAAACCATTATTTTTCAACAAATTCATTTTCAAGTTTATTTCGAGAAGGCTAATTCGGATATATACATTCCTTTTGATTTTGTTGCCATTTTAGAGTTTCTTTCAACTTTTCTCTTATATAATCTTATTAAGTTTTCCTCAATGAAATCAATAGTTTGTTCTTGACAATGCTTTCAGAGTTTTGTTGGTAATATGGTCTGATAATGGAATCTTATAGTAACAATGGTCCAATGATTTAATCATGGAAGTATTAAAAACAATGATGTAAAGTCTCAACAAACTTCAACATGTTTTTTTAATGATTATCTTTTTTCAAGTATACTTTGAGAAAACTAATATAGGTATGCATTTCTTTTGAATTTTGTTGAGATTTTAAAGTTTTTTTGTTTAAAGGAGCAACCAAACATAATGAGATGTAATCTTCTAAATATTAGAAACCTATCTTTCCTTTCTCTTAGATTTTCGATTTTTTTAAAATTATTTTATATGTAAAAGAATTTTCTATCTCTATATTTAAAACATGAAATTCATTAGAATAAGGTTGTTTTGGTAATTTTAAAAAGTTTAAATTCCAACATTTTCATCTTCATTCTTGGAGATGAAACCTCCAAACCTTTCCATGTGCCCCTTCATGATTTGTTCATCGATAAATCTTTTTTTCTTCCTTATTATATAAAATCGACATTAGTTATTATTTAAACAACTTTTACTTTTATATATAATTGACATTAATTGTTATTTACACAACACTTATTATATATTTTTATTATAATTAATGAATTATTTTAATT